CAACATGGAGAAGTGGTGGACCGTGGTCAATCCGCGCGCTCTGTCTCGCTCAGAACACTAGAGCGTGAATGTGCACTGCAGGACACTGCACTTTTCAAGCCGTCTTGCAGCCCCGTTTCTCTGAATACGACCCCCTCCCTTTTCGTTCGACCGAATACGACCCCCTCGTTGTTCTTTGCGCAACGGGCGGTTGACCCTGGCTCACAGGCTCAGTCGAGCATGCGAGTGTGAATACTAAACTGAACAGATGGTGCGTCTACAGTTCTTAGATGATGCAGGCGCATTCCAGTTTCAGACTCCTCTTCGCGCGAAGAAAAAATCGGACTGAAATTTATAGCTTGAAACCTCTTACTTATGCAACCAGAAAAGGAACATGTTCAGACTAAGGCTTATAATGACAAATATGAGATATTTTTGACTACACTTCATCATGCAATCGAATTATTCGTCCCTCTGAAAGCCCAAAAGACCAGTGTGGACCAGTTACCACAACATCTGATCAGATACAGTCGTAAAAAGAACCTGGCATGGAATAAGGCCGTAGCAAGCGAAAATCCAAAGAAGTGGGATAAGTATAAGAAGATTAGCGCTATTTTCGAGAAGAGGTCAAATAAGTTTCGTAGTCGAATCGAAAGAAATGTTATTAACTCCAGGAATAAGAATGCGTTTTATAGGTTACTTAATTCAAAGCTGAAGAAAAGCAAGGGTTTAGGGGTTCTGTTTGCAGAAGATGGTAGAGCCGTATGTCGAGATAAAGATAAAGCCGAACTATTAGCCAGCATATTTGAAAAAGCTTACCAGAAAGGGGTTGAGGTCTCAGAAGTAGATGCCACTCCCTCATTTCCTGTGATGGGCGACTCTATTTGGTTCCAGAGAGAAGAAATTCACAAGCTATTAGCCAGGTGGCCCAAATCTCGTTCTGATACACCGGATCACATTCCTCTTGAATTCGTCAAAAAAAGTGGCATTCGTAATTTCGGGACCACTGGCGTTTATTTCCAAATTAAGCATCATGAGAGCCGTAGTACCAGAGAGATGGCGTACCCTCCCTTCAAAAAGCCAGAAATTGTGCGGGTGCAGACCATACACCACAAGTGACGACGGCCTCCAAGTAAATCTGGTTAGTAGTGGTTCATAGTGATAGCTGATTTTGGTAAATGATAGTTGTAATTAGTGACAACGATAGAATACAACTGCAACAGGCTAATCATTTCATTGGCAGAAAACATTTGCATTTTGTGGAGGCCGTCGTCACTTGTGGTGTATGGTCTGCACCCGACACTTTCTCGTTTTTTGAAGGGGAGGGTATGTCATTTGTCACCCCCATTCCTAAGAAGGCTCCACACTCTTGTCCCTCCAATTACAGACCTGTAAGCATAACTTCTATATTTGCTAGGTTGTTTGAGAGGGTTTTGAAGAGAAGAATTATAAGTCATTTGGATGAGTTTGATGTCATTGCTGAGCAGCAGCACGGCTTCCGGGAAGGTATAATGGTTACGTTACCAGGCACTGATTGTTAGGCAACGATCAGCGTTCACAGTGATTTTCTACTTTCTAAAAACTTTCTAAATGTCTCCAGTTTGACTGTTGCAGGAGAAAAAAACGTGCGAGATTCCAGAAAAATGAAAATTGCGCAAGAAATATTATCTATATACACAGTATTTAGCAAGTAGTGCAGTAGAACAGCAATGATAAGCTCCCGAGGCGTTGGTGGAATGACAGCTTAGAAACGAAGAACGACCAGCGATAACGGTGGTCGACTGGCTGAAATCGGATATTCGACCTTATCAATCTTGAACTTCCATCATCACCGTCGTTCGCCCAATTGCTGCACCCCACACCCCACACGACCTATCGCCTTGACTTTTTGTTCTGTGAACGATTCAGTTCAGTTCACAAACGGGTGTAACATAGCTGTGACGTCATCTTGAATAGGCACTTTTTGAACTCTTTGTATTCGTTGTTGATTTCGTGGTTTTGCATTACAAATTGGGCCAACGGCGGAAAGGGTAAGTGGGTTATTGGTAAGTCTGATGTCTATAACGCCAAATAGGGGAAATTGTAGCGGCATTTTGGAATCGCACATGGAACCATCTCCATTATTTCAGAAACGGGACAAAGACTCAGGCGAGGAAGGGTAAACCTCGGAAAGGTGAGCATTGTCTATTTCCACAATGTTCCTGTCAGTTGTTACATAAGCTTTGTCCAGGATGATGCCCGTTTCTTACGATAGCGCTCGCAATTCTAATGAGAGATACTGTGCAAGCAAAGGAAATTGATTACCGATCGATTAATCTTGCACTATTTACTTGATTTACACATTAAAAAACTGTACATTACTATACCTTTTGGAGTGCCATTGCGAATGGGTATGGGTTATATCATTATAATTTAGGATCGTTTCTGAAAGATCGCAGCAACCTACCTCTAGAAGCGTTCCTCTTATGATTCTTCATTTTTGTCCTTCCTGGATGGTCACAAACCCTCGAAACTGATCCGACACGGTGTGCAACCTGCTTGTCCAGCGTGATAGATGCCTTTCACCACGTCAAAAGTTGGTACGCTATATGCTACAAGCTCACTTAGCTTTGGAAAAAATTCCTCACCAGTTCTGCCATGTTGCTGATTGCCTTTCCTCGATAGAGTAAGCATGGGTCACACTCTTGTCCGGAAAATAGGGCCCATGTTAGAATCCCGGCTAGCGTAAAGCTCAGTATCCCTTTTTCAGTAACGTTTTATCCTGTCATGGTTAGATTCCCGCTAATAATTCTGATCCTTTGCTTTGCTCCAAACAAGTAATCACAAGTAATCAAAATCAAGGTAACGCCCTGTTGCCATCGTAGTTAATTTCTGGCGATATACAAACTTTGTTTTCCGCAGCTATGTGCTTCTGTAATGAAGACCAAGCAACGCAAGAGACGACGGCCTCCAAAAATGTCACAGCTTTCTGTCTCAACCGAGTGGACTAGCGCGATTTCGTTTTGTATGGTTTTGCTTGCGCACTAAGTTGACAACTATGACTATCAAATATCGTCTTGTCGCTGCTAACTATCAATATCAGATTTTTTTGTAGGTGTTTGTTCTGCATTTACAGACACACCTGTCTCCGGACACAAAGGCTACGTGTTACAGATTCTATATCAATCAAGGAACAAATGACTACAAGCCCTACGATGACGGCCGCAAACACTGGAAACTCCCGAAAGTTTCACGATCGCATCACTAAGAAAGGAAATTACAACATAGAAAACTATCGTTGTCGCTTTGACGTCCACACTTCCGGACTAATATTAGAAGTAACGAAGGTTTCTTTGGAGAGAGCTCAAAAGTGAAAGGGATAATTGTAATGAATTTTCCGAATAGTCTCCACAGAGTATTAAAGGTATGCAGTACAGATCAAGATATACCTTACTGCTTTTGTAGGAGCTCTGTTCAATTCTCTTTTTAGCTGTTCAATTTCGATGTTGTGAGAATATTCGGCGGTAATGCAAATATAAATATTAAGAGATTTATAGGATCCCCGTCGCTACTAAACGATTCGATTTCTTATCCTAACATTTAAAGGGCGGAAGTGGTGTAGTGACAAGTGGCGCGCTCACCACGCGGCCGGGGATCAAATCCTGGGTCGTGAGTCGCCCGGGCCAACCAAGCCTTCCATCCCTCCGGGGTCGGTTAATTGGTACCAGACTTGTCTGGGAGGATAAAAACACTGACTTGTACATCGGCTGGCCCCCGCAAGTCATTGTATAGGCCACATCGCATTCAAACGCCACTACGAATGTACAAATGGAAGTAGAATGCGTGCCGCATCCCAAAAAGGGATTGATCAACGGCAAATGCTTTATCCTTTATCCTTTTATAGGATCCGCCATTTCTATATGTTCGATTTCCTAGAGCCTAGATCAAAACTCAGCTAGATCATCCAGCTTTTCATCTCCAATGAAGACCATGCCTCAGTCTACTTGAGGGCACGCTTAGAGGGAGTTAGCCCATGCGTCACCTGTCCCATCTCGAGCGTAGTAAACAGACGAACAGGCAGTTGAATTATGGCCTATTTAGCAGGCCTGAAAGTGCGACGACAAAAGGCACTCGAAAGCTCGCGGACCCGCAATTACTTCCCAGCAAGGCCTCGCCGTCCACCTCGCTGGCGCAGTGACGCTGCGAGAAGCACGGTCGCTATTGCGGGTCCATATGCAATGGCACTGTGAGGAACTGCAGAAGTGTATCGTTAAACCTTGTTCAACACGTCCGCTTCCTCTATCAGAGATGGAATATCGGCTAAAATAGAGAGCTCTATTCGCGGTTTAATCGAGAGTTTCTCTAGCTTTCTTTTTCTTTAGCAGACCACTCCTCATCCAGCATCATTACTGTATGCTATTCCACACCTATTTTATCAAGAGGCTTGCTTACAATGAAAGTACTCAATTCTGCCGTGGCAGTTCCACCAGCCATTGGAACGAATACGCGAACGCTCAAATATTGATGAATAAGGAGTCCCGAAAAAGACAGTGATCAATGTCTGATTACATTATTCGTTTTTACCACACCATCTGGTTTTTCCTCTCCTTTATGTAATTTATAACCACGCAAGCGGTCCGGGGATCAATCCTGGGTCGTGAGTCGCCCGGGCCAACCAAGCCTTCCATCCCTCCGGGGTCGGTTAATTGGTACCAGACTTGTCTGGGAGGATAAAAACACTGACTTGAACATCGGCTGGCCCCCGCAAGTCATTGTATAGGCCACATCGCATTCAAACGCCACTGCGAATGTACAAATGGAAGTAGAATGCGTGCCGCATCCCAAAAAGGGATTGATCAACGGCAAATGCTTTATCCTTTTTTTATTCATGTAAGTTATGGACGTGGATTAGAAAAAGAATCAAAAGCTCACTTTTGATCAGATTTGCTTGAAGCAGGAATATATAATTGAATTCATTTTTCCAATAGCACACAAAAACAAAACAACAGCTAAATCATGCGATTAGTCGACAGTTAGATAAACTATGCCACTTTATGCTTTCTTATTTTTGAGATTCTTGAGGATACAAATCTCCAAAATAAAATGGCCACTTTGACAACCAGTAGTAAAATCACAGCCAGAATGGATGTTAAGAATGCGATCACATCTAAAGAGTGATACTGGAAGAAGTTCAGTTTGTTTCCTGCTGGCTCGAGGTTTTCAAGCGTTTTGAATTCGGCAACGAATTCAGACCATCTCACCAGAAGCTGCACGGGACTGATCGGCTGACGTTCAATCATTTGCGACAATCGTCTGGCGCTATTCTTGTATCTGAATGAATATTACTTTCATTTCTGAATAAGTGGTCAGGTCCCGTAGTAAAAAAACAGTTTTCAAAGGCACGGGTTGCGATTGAATTGGTGTTTATTTCGCTCCTAAAAATCAAACAACAGATGCGAAAGGGGCCTTAAAGGACGAATTCACGATGAAAAAGCAACCCATTTCAAATTAACCTAGGGATGGTGAGTGGTACACGAAAGAAGGAAGAACCATGAGAAACGGCCCAGAACCCGAGAAATGGGACCCCTTCCTTGCCCGTTGATTTGAGCATTGATGCGACTCTCATCGCTGTGCCCTCTTCAACACTACGCTCTCTCACCTATCTAATCACTCCACGTATAGACCTGCGGCGAGTGATCAGATGATCGGTGGGCGTGCACTGGCCCACCGCGCCAAGATTGAGCCTTAATAGGTCGCCGAGGTCAACTCCTTCGGTGCCAATTGCGCTTCAGTCCGCACCCTTAGGAGGTCCGCGGGTCCCTCAACTAGGTGAATTACTCCTTCTTCGACCTTCATTCTAATCGTGAATTCGTCCTTTAATGATACAAACAGGACCAGTAAGGCACTGATGAGTAAGGCACTGATGGTCCTTCTTTTCTTGTGAGGTCGACCGTAGCACAACGGAGAGACACAACGCGGCGAGGAGAGGGAATACGCAAGTGCTGTGTTGTTCTGAGAAGAAAGTCGACTATGTGGCGCACTCCGACGCCATTTCTCGGTGTCGAACGGCTCTAATACCTCAATCCCGCTTCCGTCAGCAATGTCAAATATGTTACATGAATTCCATAGATAATAGGAACGACTCGAATTTTTTAAAGCAGGACTCACTTTGAATTCTGGACCACCTCATGGATTGCTTTCGTGAGTGTGGATACGCTGAGTTCAGCCCTGTTAAGGACGAGTCCGAATCCATGGTGCTCAGCCAAACGAGCATTCTTTGGTTGATCTCCAAAAAGTGGAATCGATATCAAAGGCACACCGCCCAGCGAAATTGCTTCCTTACACATAGAGTCAGATGGGAATCCTCACCGGATTCCGTGTATAAAACATGGTGATTATCCTATTGCAATTTCAACTTATGGCCTCACAAGACCATATAACAAAGCTGAAACGGTTCAAGTTCTCTGAATATCTCTGATAAAATTTTCAGTACCATTTCAAATCACTAGTGGCAACTCTCTCCATATGCTTCGGGTATTATAAGCGGTATTAAATGAACTGTTTTCATCAAGTTGGCGTTTTTTACCCTTTAATGCCCCACTCCACAAATATGCTGGATTTTTATCGAAATCTTTCTTCGACTTAGCATTTCGCTAGAAACTGTCTCCGGGGGTAGTTCGATACACAGAATACAAATATCACATTCGTTTGGCGTGAAAACGCCCGACGCCTGCGACACAAGTGTCGGCGCCTGAAGGCGCCAGATTACCCTTAATCACTAAATTGGCTGACTTGTCCCTTCAGGGGCTATTCGGGTTGAAGTACCTCTAAAGACGATTTCCAGCCAAATGCTGAAAATGTTCGATCAAAAATCTGCTTCAGTTTCGAGAGTGGAGCACTCCAAGGTAAATAGTAACATCAAATCGTGTGAATACTTCTACAAAAGATGGACAGTCAACGAAGCACAGAATCATTTGATGAATGAACTTTGGCGTGACACGAAGAAGTCGCTCATAAAGACTAACAGAAGATCTGCACGTATCAGAAGACTTTAAAGGCAGTAAGCACGATGGCAGGAGGATAGTGTGGTACTGATGACGTCATTAAAATACATACTGCCAATCAGACCCCTCAGCGCCGTGGAGGCGTGGTTGGGATTACCTTTTGAAGCCTTTCCACCATTCACGATCACCGGCGCCATTGGGATCGCTCCGCCCTTTTGCGGTCGTGTTCACTGCCTTTAGTGCAATTATCCACAGCAAATCACCACGCAATGATAGGTTCCGGCTACTTTTTTTGAGTGAGCAGAAATGTTCTTCATCCAGAATAGTGGTTTTCTGAGACCGCAGAATGAAGGAGAGTCGCAGTACGTTTAATCGTTGTTATGAATAAAGTTTGATACAGTTCAAAAAGCCAATTTTCTGGTGCGCCTGACCCCAACTAATAATAGTTAGTATTATGCGAAGGTACCGTAGATGTACAGGTACTGGATATTTCAGTAGATGAACAGGTTCTCCTACTGAAATATCCAGTATTGCGGAAGCAGCCTAGTAAAATCTGAAAGGAGAGGTGTTCCCAGTGAGATATAACCCCAGCAATTTGACATGCCATAAAAGTTATACAATACTGTCCAAACCTCGTACGGCAACCCGATGTGAATGAGATTCTGCTTACTTGTACACTATTGTATCCACCATGAGTGATGAATGCCTTAGTGTTAGGATGTTGAAGAATGTCAGACTGTGGAAGCCATTGAAACAGATGTACATTTTCTGAGAGATTACCTAAAGTGGAAGTATCAGTGATAGGACCACTATCATTAAAACAGGTAGTGTGCATCAAACGAAAGGTGTGAATCCTTTTGTTTACCTTTCAGATCGTCACTATCATATCGCACCAGAAACTGGTAGTTGGAAAGTTCCTTGAACGTTTCCAGGAAGATCGTTTTCCATTCTTCAGGCATTTTATGTGCAGCAGCGACCGAGCCGAAAGAAAACAGCACAACCCCGTCTCCCTTTTGCATTATTCGTATAACTTCGTATAATGTATGCTATACGAAGTTAATCAAATAAAATTTCCAAATGAAAATAAAAATAGCACCTTTATAAGCGGCTTGGCATCTCGTGATTCCATTCCAACACCACCGATGTTCACAACCTTGGCAAGCGTTGGTCGGGGCATTTCATAAAGATCATTGGTGTTGGCCATTACCTGAATTTTTGTGCATAAGTCGAACATTTTGCATGGGACAAGTAAAAGAGCTGTAGTATACGACAGAGTTATGGACACAGTAACTGCGTGTAGGTGCGCCGCACCGCTCTCATCCCTTTAGGTGCTGCGGGGATTTCATGACACCTGATCGTGGATTTTTCAGCACGTGTTGATCTACCCTTACTGACGCGAATTGCGTGAAGAGTTAGCTCACTGGACAATAAGGGTAGAGGGTGGTTAGTGGAGCAGGGATGAAGAAGAACCATGAGAAACGGCCCAGAACCCGAGAAATGGGACCCCTTCCTTGCCCGTTGATTTGCGCATTGATGCGACTCTCATCGCTGTGCCCTCTTCAACACTACGCTCTCTGCTATCTAATCACTCGCCACGTATAGACCTGCGGCGAGTGATTAGATAGTCGGTGGGCGTACCCGCCAACTGCGCCGAGAATGAGCCACGCTAGATCGCTCGAAATCTTTCGCTGCCAATTGCCAATTGCGCGTCGGTATCCCAACCATACAATTTTTCCCTTCTTTGACTTTCATTATAATCGTGAATTCCTCCTTTGAAGCAATCCTCGGGATAAAACTGGTGTGTGAGAGCACTCAGCAATGAAGGTGGAGGTTAGCAGTGGGCTGATAGTGAAAAAGAAAGCAAAGAAACCGTCGGGTGCAGTGAGGTGAGTTCAGAGCGACAAGAAAAACGCGGGAGCTCATCGTACGTGAGCACACAGAAAAGTGGCGGTAGCGACAGCTTACAAAAAAATAAGGGTCACTGCCGGTGATTAGGAGCATTGGTGGGACAATATCACCCATTGCGCTCTTTCGAGCGGCGTCAGTGGTGCATCGTAAGGTCGCAAGCAGCTGTAGTCCACCCAGCGAAAAAACTTCAGTGATCCAATTCCAGTCTTTGCCCTCAAGAGCCATGCTAACCCTGTAATGAACCTGCCAATAACACACCTCTTTGGCTCTCTACAGCTTGCACCATCTAGAATGAGCAAACGTGGGGTACTTGCTTGTGGTACTGCCTTTGTGCTCACCACCTGGCCAACAAATACGTGATGGAATTTCGCCTTCACTAGCCAAGCCTCCCATACCTATGGGTTCGGTAAATTGTTACCAGATTCGAACGGCAGTAAACTGTACATCGGAAAGTCATCGGAACTCATGTGTAGATCATAAGGTAATTTTATAATTTTCAATAGACCAATTCGGAACAGATTTAGCACACGAGAAGGTGTATCGCCTGCATGCTTTGTATGCTTGACGAAAAATTTAACCGAGATTTCGGTGGGCCACTGAAATTTGGGTTACCAGCGAGGTTCCTGTACATCTTTGGTGACCTCAATCATTCTTTGGAATGACCATAAATTCTTTATCAGTTCCCACAAGATATGCGTTATCCGCTGTAATCGAAACCATGCTTGCAGCTTCTGCAAGTCTAATGGGCTTAAAGGCAGCGATTACGATAGATTCGAGAAGGGTTCAAAGGAGACGTGGTGGTGCTCAATGGTACGCCAGTGGCGAAAAAAGCGAGAAATCCGTCAAGAAAACGCAAAACGGGACCCCTTTTTTGGCCGTTGGTTTTCACTCATGAACAGGTAACAGCTCAGAAAGCGGACGTATGAACGAGTTCACCGCAACGCGTTTGGTGGCACCATGCCAAACCACGCTCCAATCGAGTTGCTCCAGTTGTGCCGCTGCTGGCAACGCAGCTCGTCCAAATCACCAACTAAACTAGTGGGCGGATCGCTTTTGGGCGGAGTGCTTTCGAAGTCCTGCTCAGCAACCAGCGCACCTTTCGTCGTGAAAGCGCCACTTCGCATCGCTTGCAGCCAAGTAACTGCTTTGTATGCGGCATATGATTCCCCGAAGCGCTTCCTCCTTATCGTAATCGCTGCCTTTAAACCAGTGACCATCCAAAGAGCAGTGAATCATCCTACGTCATACAACACTTGACTAATCCTCACCAGCGGACACTTGGACGCCAAGTCGAGCAGATCTGGGAAAGTCAGAGCTAACCATTCGACGAAAACAGCTCTGTTTCAGGGTCGGCGATCAGTCTGGAACGCAGAAAAATGGAAAACATATCCACAATTTGGAGAAACATCGTAACAAGAGAAATTTCTTTCACCTTCTCCAGAAGAATTTCATAAGACCATGGCCAATCACACTTTTCACACGCTGAAATGAATCCTCTCCCCCGCCGCTCCCATCATCATTGCTTAAAACGAAATTGTAAAGCATCTCATCATCGACCATGTAATCAGTTCTAGACGAGAAAGAACATTTTTTTTTGTTCGAGATCTCTAGT